GTTGGCGTAGTCGCCGGCGTGCCTTGGGCACCTGTGCGCCGAGCAGCTGGAGCAGGTGGTGGCGTCCGCGCAAGTGTAGGTGCTCGCGCCCGTGCTGGCATCTGTGCTGGCGTCGGCGCTGGTGTAGGCGCTTGCGCCGTTGCTGGTGCTGGCGCAGGCGCAGGCGTTGATTCTGGCGTGGGCGCCGGCGTCGGCGCTGGAGAAGGCGCCGCCGAGCGCTCTTGGGACACCCGTGCGCTGGGCAGCTCACCGTCCGGTGTGCTGGCGTCGGTGGTGGCGTCGGCGCTGGTGTAGGCGCTGGCGCTCGTGCTGGAGTCGGTGCTGGCGTCGTCGCTGGTGTAGGCGCTTGCGGTGCAGGACCCGGACGCGGAGTGCAGCGTGCTGGACGGTGGACCGGCCCTGCCGCGCGCTGGATACCCGGCGCGTTGCACAATGCACCTGCCCTCCTTTGAGGTCGTGGGGTGCAGCGTGCTGGAGTCCACCGTGACGCCTCACTCGAAGTGCCCCCAGCCATGCTGCATGCGGTCATCGTCAGGGCGTCGATGTAGATGTCAGTACTGCTAGTCCGGGGAGGATTCGGCGTTCTCGTCGCTGCTGGTGTAGACGGTTCTGTAAGCGCCAGGGCTGGTGTCGGCGTCGATGCTGGCGACGCTGCTGATAGAGGCGCTGGCGCTGGTGCCGGCGTAGGCGCCAGAGTTGGTATCCGGGTCGATGCCGGCGTCGATGCTGGTGTAGGCGTTGGCGCTGGTACTGCATAGGTGTTGGCGCCAACACGTAGGCGCAATGATGAAGGTCTGGACCAAAGGCGCTTGCCGAAGAAGGCATTGTAGGGCTGAAGTTGGCGTGCGCGCCGGTGTTAATGCGGGCATCGACGTTGCCGTCGGCGTTGGTGTTGTTGCCGGCGTAGGCGCAGAGATGAAATTCGGCGGGAAGTCTGGACCAAAACCAACGCCAGTGCCGGCGTTGATGCCGGCGTCGGTGCACTCGGAGTCGGGGCGCCAGAGATCCTGTCGGTGTCGACGCAGGCGTTGTCGGGCAAGCCGTCGGAAACTTGTCTTCTAAGGATCGCGGCCGCAGTGGCGTTTGGAAACGCTCGGATCGGATCGGATCGCCTGTGCGGGCATGTGCCCGGGTCCCTTAAGGGCGAGGCGGGCGAGGCTATGGCCTCGCACGAGAGGCAGCACGAGTCGGAGGCTTGCTCAGGATAATGCGTAATTACCTCACAAGTTGATGTTCCAATTGTTCCCACCCCTCTGCTGTATTCCGATGTAGTGACGCAGTTTCGTTGAAGTCGTAGTGTCTGTAGGATGAACCTGTCGGGGAATCCCGTGGATGTCATCACCCTTTCTGCAATCGCGAAGCCCAAGCCAAACGCGAACGAGTTGAACGCCTCGGAACTCCAATCCAGTGCATACGGGCGCAGGATCAATCGTGTTCTCACGAGCTATTCGACACGTTCTTCAGGTACCACTCAAGGCACAGATACACACGCAGCCGAAGGCCCACAAGCTGGAGGTCGATTGGCGGTGGAAACGGAAAGTCGGAGGCTAGAAATTAGAGGTAAGGATGTTGTGCTGGTGGAGGGTGGAGGTCGATGGGTAGAGGTAGACGTCGAGAGTCGGATGCTAAAAGTTGGTCGTTGGAATGCTGATTCAGTGGGCGTCGGAAGTCGATGCATAGAGGTGGTACTGATGAGACAGTCGGATGCTAGATGCTGGAGGTCGGAATGCGGGGCTGTTGGGCGCTGGAGGTCGATAGGTGGAGGCGGAGTGAAAGTCGGAAGCTGGACGGTGGTGGTTGGAGTGCTGAGCTGGTGGACGCTGGAGGTCAATTGGTCGAGCTGGAAGTGGAGAGTCGGATGCTGTAGGTTGGAGGTCTAAATGTTGCGTTGATGACCGTTGGAGGTCGATCGGTGGAAATGGAGGTGGAGAGAGAGAGAGTCGGATGCTGGAGATTGAAAGTCGGAGTGCTGACCTGATGGACGCTGAGGTCGGTCAGTGGAAAATCAAATGCTGTAGGTTGGAGGTTGGAATGCTGAACTGGTGGAGGTAGGGAAGTCGATCGGTGGAGGTGGAAGCGGAAAGTCGCATGCTGGACGTTGGAAAGCGAAATGTTGAGCTGGTGAACGTCGCAAGTCGATCGGTGGAGCTGGAAGTGGAGAGTCGGATGTAGGGGTTGGGGGTCGGAGTGCTGAGCTGGTGGGCGCTGGAGGTCGATTGGTGAAGGTGGAAGTGGAGAGTCGTATGCTAGAGGTCGGAGGTCGTGATGTTGAGCTGATGGGCTGGAGGTCGATAGGTGAAGGTAGAAGTGGGAAGTCGGACGCTAGAGGTTGGAGGTCGTAATGTTGAGCTGGTGGAGGTAGGGAAGTCGATCGGTGGAGGTGGAAGTGAAGAGTTCCTCTCGCGCCGCGGCGGGTCGAAAACCATGCCTTGCGCCAGGCTCGTCGTGCTCGCCGTCAACCTGCGACCACAAGGGTCACGTTGGAGCGGCAGGCATCTGTCCCCGCCGCGTGGCCGATAGCCTGCTTACCCAGAGGAGACGCAGGCTCCTGTGAACAAATGTGAAGAGTCGCGTGCTAGGGGTTGGAGGTCACGATGTTGAGCTGATGGACGCTGGAGGTCGATAGGTGGATGTGGAAGTGGAGAATCGAATGCTGGAGATCTTTGCACGACCGGTATGAAGTATCATTTGCGCGTTTGGACACTAAGGGGGCGTAGAGGTCGGATCAAAGATGGAAGCAGTCCCGCGCCCTTGCCGTGGTCCCCCTCGCTTTGAGACGTCGGATCAATCTGCGAGTGTAGAGCTGCGTCGGCGGGCACGAGGACGAGGTGAACACAAGTAGAGGATAAGCGATGAGGGAGTGTTATTGCAATCGTCGTCGGACTCGACGGGCTGGCCGCTCGGCAGCCTCATCGGCGCGTGGTCGTCGTAGTGGGCGGGCGCTGCCGCTGCCCTGACATACCTGGCGGAGCCGACCGTGTCCTCGACAGGCCTCGTGCAAAAATTAGTTCATGAACTGCTTGATGGATGCAGACCGGGCCTGAGCGTCCCGAAACCTACGGTGTCGGATGTGGTTGACTGTTCGATACAGTACATAGGTAGAACCTGCTCGAAGACAAAGAGTTTGGTCGTCCATGTCAACGCCCAAGACGGCGTGAGCCAAGCGATGATGAGTGACTGAATGCCCGAGACGCGATCGCTGCCAATCGAGCCACATAAAGCAATGAAAATAAGGTTCCGCAGAATCACAAACCGTTTTGTTGCACCCCAAGATGCACGGGCGCTGGTTTACACGTAGGCTTCGCATGCGCCAATCCGTTGTCCACCTGTTGAAGACAATGATCAATGTCGCTGCGCAGAGCCTAGGCGGCACCAGCCGGCGCAAGCGGACCAATTGGCGCGCCGCCCGCCGCGCCGTCCTTCGGGGGTAGTCGGGGAGCCGCCACCGAGCAAACCGTGCGCGTAGGTGTCGTTCCACGCAATATTTGTCTTGCGCGACCAAGCGCCCGGTCATCCACCTCTGCGTCCCCTTCTTGAAGCGCTGGTCCGCTGGGCGTGTGAGCGGCCCGAGAATAGCCCCTCCAAGGGCGGATCGGGCGGCATGAACGTGGACCCCCTCGGCCGCCTGCGCATCAACCAGCTTGGTAACCATAGTCGGAGTGCGTTGAGCGAACCATGGAAGGCAGCATTTTCTCAAAGTCAGATGATCCGCGCGAGCCCGCGCCTATGTCAGCTGACGTGATACTTGGTTACAGGGAATGCCTCCTGTGCTGCGGGCTTCCCACGCGTGTGTCCGGAGCATGGCAGCTTGGCAAGAGGCGCGCAAGTGGCGCATCCGCGCTGAGAGACCCAACTCCGAGCCGTGCTGCATGTCGGCTGACGTGCACCACCATCCCGGCCCAGGCGCCACTTTGCGGACGGCGGCCGCTCCCATTTCCAAGACAGCCTGTGGAGGTGCTTCTAGTTGCGCAACCAATAGGAGTACCAGCAAGACAAACACATTATAGGTCATCATCGCCAGGGGAAGCCCCAGTTCGCTCCATTGCCATTGTTGTAGCCGTTCCAGATCTTTGTCCGATGGTTTGCTCCAAGATTTCGTGCCTTTCCAGGATTTCGTGCCTTTCGTGTTTGCAACCTCGCCTCTCGGGAGGGCGGCGTCGCTTTATCGGCCAGCCAAGCCGCGGGGTTGCTGGATCGAGAACTTTAGGGAGAGCTGGTCCTTCTTCTGCAGCGCGGGCTGGGGGGGGGAGGGGCGGTTTTTTATGTTTGTCCGCAGCGCGAACTCCTCGCTCGACGCTGCATAGTCCGTAGTCAGGTGTTGGGGGAGGAGAGGGAGAGGACGGGGAAGGGAAGGCACGAGGCGGAGGCACGAGGGAGGGAGCGGGGGGGGGGGAAGAGGGTAAAGGAGGGGTGAGGAGGGGGGCGGAGGAGGGGAAGGAGGAATGTAAAGGAGGGGAGAGGGGGGAGGAAGGGGAAGGAGGAAGGAGGGGAATGCAGGTGGGGGGTATAGGGACCGGAGGAATACGGGAAGAAAGGGGAGTATGAGACTGAGGAGGGGGTGAGGAATAAGATGTGACCCGCTCAAAAAAAAAACACCCAGAACCCAACAACATGGTCATACGTTCGCAGGGCATGCTCTGCTGCCGCCGCTTTCTGCCAGCACTCCACCGGCGCAACCACCCCCGCTTTACCGCCGCCGCACACTGTCGGGGAGGGTCCACGCATCCATACCCCGAAGGCGAGCTCCTGTCTCGAACGCCCTAAACAGTAGTAAAACAAATCTAGCTGTCAGAAATAGTAGGGCACACTCTCCGTTGATCCTTGAGGGTACTAAGATGTCCCAGGCCTGCTGTGGGTACCTGGGGCCATCGGGGTGCAAGACATTCCCGTGGGGCACCTGCTTGCAGGTTGATGTCTGATTTGATGTGCCTACTGCGTGGGGAAGGGGGGGAGCGCCTGACAGGGCAAGAGAATGAGAAGTGTGCACAGAAGGGCAGCTCCAGCTCTTCGAGCTTCTGCGGCGACAGGGTCGGTTTCTTCAGCTGGCTCTGCAGCGTCTTCAGTCGCTCGTCCTGCGGCCGTAGCTTTTCCTCGCTGCCTTCCCGAACTTGCGGCCGTAGCGGACCGAGGACCGTAGCGGAGCCGCGAGGTGTGACACCTAGGCTACGCGACAGGCGGCGCGACCGTCCAGACACTGTCTGGGTGGTCGCGCCGCCTGTCGCGGCGCTCGATCACGCGGTCCGACCATGCTGCCAGTTCACTGCGCCCAGTTCGGTGAGAATTGCGAGGGTCACGTTATCTCGACTAGCAGGCGTCGTCGGCCGATCGACACGATCTTTCGGCGCTGGCGCCGCGGTGAGCTGAACTAGAAGCCGAAAACCGGGTGGACGCCAACCGAATCGGTGGGAGGCGGGATACAACACGCCAACTATGTCTATTCCCGCTGCTCGAGGGCGCCAGCAGGCGTCAAGCCCGGACGAAAACAGGCGATGGAGAATATCGGCCGGGGAATCCGATTGAGGGAGAGCGATAGAGGGGACCAGCAATTAAGGAGGGGGGCAAACATTGACCTGTAATCGGCGATACATCCCCGAATGATCGGCGATAGGCCCTCCGTAAGGGCATCGCACGTTCCTGGGCGGGGTGGGCTGTCAGGCCTCCGTCTGCGATGCGTGAGCGATTGGGGGTCGATGCTTGCCCCCTGAAAACGCTGCCCCTGACCTCCCTCGGGATGTCTTCTCAGCGACGCTGCGGCCTCGCTCCCAGGGGAGATCAATTGTGTCCACTGGCCTCCTGCAAGTGAGGACGGCCGAGCAGCACTGCCCCCGCTTGGCGCCCTCGGACAAGGTGCGCCAACACGGAGGTCCTGTAGAAGGCAGAGGGCACAGAGAAGGCTGCGGATCGGAGCCAGAGTTCGGGAAACAAGACATGGCAGAAGCATAATCTTTCGGAAGTCCGCACGGATTTCTCGGATCAGCGCTGGAGCCTCCTGGCGGCGCCTCCAGCGCCGCCCCTGGCGCACTCCGCGCGCCAGGTAGGGGGGTCCAACACCGATCCAAGAAATCAGCGCGGCCCTCCGGATTTTTATGCTTATGTCATGTTTGTTCACCGAAGAATGGTGCAGGGCCCTTCGCCGCACGGGTGCTGGACAGAGGAGCATTGGATGGCCCAGGATGGGCAGAAGGTGAAGAACGAGGGGGAGGAGGACGAAAGGACGATTTGGGAGGACGGGGCTAGCAGGAGGCTAAATAAGCAGGAGGAGGCGTAGGAAGAGCAGGAGAAGGAACACGAGGAGGACGGCTACGACGAATACTACGAGGGAAAATCTCTTAACACTCAGTAAGCCAACGGTACAACGGTCGTGCCTCTCCCCCGGCTGCATCCCATGATGCTCAACACATGCCAGTTGAAATTCACCACGCGACATCTAATTAGAAAGACAGCTGGGATGGGAGGAACTTCCACGCAACTTGCTAAAACATGCTGCTGCCACGGGGGACTTCCCACAAAAAGTATAATCATTAACGAATCACGAAAGAGTAAAGCTCAAACCGACTATTGCGTCGTCCGTAATTGTTATGCCTGTTTCGCTCTGGACATCCTCATTATTGTGCAAGTCGGATGCGCCCATGACGCAGATCGCGACTTCAGGATCGAAAGACACATGGGATGTACAACGTCTGAATCGAAACAAAAACTTAAAACACATACGAGTTGAAGGTGGCACATCAACGCCTCGCAGCTCTCCGGCCCCATCCCAGAACAGATGAACTTGGCTGCGGAAACTGCTTCGCAGCAGTGCGCACGGTGCGGTGAAGCGGGCACTCGCGCGGAGGCCGTGGGAGCGGGGTGGCCAACGAAGGCTCCGATTCAAGCTCTGGGCACGCGGGCCCCGAATCGGTCATTTTGCTTCGCTATTTCAACCATCGGCACGCCATTGCTCCCAGCCTGTAACCTCCCACTGAGAAGGTGTTTGTCACCACCGCCTCAAAAACAACACCAGTCCGTCTGTGGCAACGACTCCGTGACGGCGCCGCCGAGCAAGCTGGCGAACGAATTCTCGGCGATCGCCTCGGTACACCGCCGATGGCGCCAAACGCAAACGCAGAGAGCAAACGATCACCTCTCCAGATCTCTCCAACGACATCAACCCGTGCTGGATTCAATGGATGGCACGGAAGATCAGTAGGGGACGCAGATTCGAGCGTTGGGAAGGATGTTCTCGTGTGCTCCTAAGCCATAGGGGCGAATGATACTAAAGTGGTTGATTTGCTTTGATGGCAATGTCGCGCTGTCCCATCCCTGTCAATGGCTGCTCCAATGGCTCCACCACTGCAGCATGGAGCGTGGCCAGCTCTGTAAATCTGGAATTCAACAAACATTGCGTCTCACTTGCGCTTCTGTCGCCTTCCGCCGACCTTCCGCTGGCGGACCGGTCGCCATTTTACCTCCGGCGACGTCTTCTGACAAAAGCGAGATGCGCCGAAGGTGACGCGATGCGCCGAAGGCGACGATTATTTGTACCTATGTATATTTCTCCCTCCTGACCCTCCTCCTGTTCATCGTTCTCCTCCTCCCCCTCCTCCTCCCCTTTCCTCCTCGTTCTGGCCCTGCTTCACGACTTTGGTGGCAGAGCGAGTTGCTCCCGCGGCTTGGGCCAGGGGCTTTCTGTCCGCAGGCTTCAGGAAGCCTGAATGCTGGAGCGGTCGTCCCTGGTATCGGGCCTGGCTGGGGCGCTGTGCCAGTCTGCCCCCCCCCCCCCCCCACACCGGACGCTCTCCTCCCCGAAGGCCAACTAACAGAGGAAGAACCAACTGCACAAAGAGTGACTGTCGACGGTCAGGGCCGCTTTGTTGGATCTGCGGCGGAACCCCTGCCCTGGCGCGCGGAGTGCGCCAAGGGCGGCTCCAGAGGCGCAGCCAAGGGGGCCCAGCGCCGATCCAGGAAATCCGCGAGAACCGTCGACAGTTCATCTTTATGTAGTTTCTGATTCCGCGAAGCTACCGATGTGTTGACTCGCACTCCTCTGACTTGCTCCCCCTTGGGCTGCTCGCCCCCGATCCCGCAGGATCAGTCAGCATCGAATCGGCAAATCGGATCAAATCGTAATGTGCATCGGATCGGGCTGCATCGGCACGAAATCGAAACCGAATCGGACTGGCTGCGCCAAAAAATGCACCACAACGCCATGGGAACGTCGCGCCGCATCGGATCTTCGGAATACGGGAATCGAATCGGATCGGGCTGGCCAAAATCGACAATCGGATCGATCGGGTCGAAATGGACCTGTCCCTCTTGAGCAGGGATCGGCCGTCCCGGCATTCCCATAGGCCTACCACGACATGTTCTTAGAGCAAAAAAAGACATGTTCTCAGAACATAAAACCGATGGACTAAAACAAAGCTGTCTCAACAAGACATGTTCGCAGAACGTCCCGCGCAACACCACAACATGTTCCTCTGGGGCCTATAGGCGAGTCAGGAAGCCCCGTCGCTGCTTGACCCTCGTCCTCCGTCCCCGCCGCTGCCGCTCGGGCGGGCGCCGGCGGCTGCAGCGCGCCCAGGGCGAGGCCGCCCGCCACGAGCGACGCGGCGGCGGAGGCGCGGGCGCCTCGGGCGCCGCCGCCGTGACGGAGGTCGGGCAGGCGTTGAGGGCAGGGTCACCGAAATCGGGGGTGAAGACAGGAACCCTGAAGGGCCGCTCCGCCCTTTTGGCGCCAATAGGGGTCCAAAAGGGGCCCTGAAGGACCCTTTTCTTCACCCCCCATGCAGGTCACCCCCCCTCAACACCCGCCCGAGAGGGAAGGCCGGGGTTTTTTTCAATCTTGTTTCTGTGTCGGAGGAGGAGAAAGAGGCGATGCGGCATCCCAGCAAGACAGTGAGGCCAATGCGGTGTGTTCTCAAAATGGCCTCCGGCTGCGCGCACACGAGGCACGATACAAGGGACGGAAACGCGGGCAGACAGAACAATTCAGCAGACACCAGGAGACGTGTGCGATGATATCCGCAGAAATCACACTACGTGTGGGCAATCGCGGTGGCAATCTAAGCGGTCACCAGAGTGCTTCACGCCAGAGCGGCCGCGGCACAGCATATACTGCGTCGAGATCACATCGCGGATAGGCCAGCACGCCCGGAAATGACACCCAGGTGAGCTCTGTTCAGTCCTGCAGCGGACTGATCCCCAAACTCCGAAAAGGTAGCTCGTGTCAACCATGCACCCTTGTTCGGTTTGCCTTTTTTCGTGCGTGTGTGTGTGTGTATGTGTGTGTGTGTGTGCGTGTGCGTGTGTACGCGTGTGAGTAATAACCGCGGCCGCCGCACCACCCTCTCGCCGCTCACCCTAGCCCAACTCCGCCGCGCTGCTGCGCGCGCGGCCGCTACGCCAGGCAGCGCGCAGCTGCCTTTGCAATTTTGGCAGCGCGTGGTCACTCTTGCCGTCTGGACTTACGCCCACCCTCGCTGGGTGCGTTTCCACGGTGTGCTCAGCGCAGCTCCCCTGCACGTTGCGTCTACGGCACTGGGTGCAACTCGCTCGCTGTGCGCCCGACTGCGGTCGCCCGCGCGCCTTCCGTCCAAAACGTCCCGTGGTACATGTATTGCTCTTATGTGGCCCATGCAGGACTTCGCGACGGTGACGACACCTCGCTAGAGGAAACGGCGTGTGTGTGTGTCGAACTACCGAAGGGACAGCGTCCGAATCACGCGTGAAACGAACACAGCCCTGCCCAGAAGGCCACTGAGGCCAGGGGGCTCTCGAGGCTCAAGGAGGCTAGAGAGCACAGAAGCGGTCCCCAGACCGCCAAAGGTAAAGCCAAAACGGGCCTGCACGAGCACTTAGGGCAACACAGGAACCCCAGCGAGCGGCCCCGACCCTAGCCCAGGCGCTTCCCTGAGGGGTGGAGCCCAGCCGCGAGGTTGTCCCGTCGCCTCGCTCGCTCCCGCCCCGCAGGAGTCCTGCACAAGTGCAGGGCAGGAACAGTGCCAGTGCACGGCTGTGACAAGAGGCGACTCTGTTTCCGAGCTACCCCTCCACACCGCCTGCAATATACATAAGGAGGACAAGTCAGGAGCTCATGCCCGTTCTCAAAGACGGGTGACTGAGCAGCTCCTGACCCTCGAATCTCTGCTCGCGAACGATCCCCCCCACCACCAGCCCCCGCGCACGGCCCACCCCAATCCCCGACGAAAGCAGCGGCCGCGGCAGGCGCTCGGGCGGCCTGGCCCCATCGGGGGAGGGGCCTCGGCAGCCGCAGCCGCCGCGCCCGTGGCCAGCGGCGAGGTGGCAGTGGCAGGGGGGGCGGTCGCGCGCGCGCTCCGCGCAGCGCCTCGCACCTCGCTCCAGCTGCTGGCTCTGCCACCCTCCCCTTCACCTCCCCCTCCTCCAGTGGCCCCAGAGGGGGGCGAGGGGGTGGCGGCTACGGCACTAGAGGAAGGGGCAGGGGCGGGGCTAGTGACCCCCTCAGCCTGCAGGAGGGCTTCGGCACGCTGCCGTTTCAACAGAGTGGGGCGGCAAGGTCGGCACCCAATTGCACGCCTAGTCTCAGTGGTAAAAGCCGAGAGATTGCAGCTCAAGCAACGCACTCCTCCACGGCATCGGATGAGCTGGTGCGGGTTCAGGGCAACCCTCGGAGGCGCAGGAGGAGGCCTGGGGGCCCGAGGCTCAGGCTGGGAAGGGTTCCAGAACTCCGATCCCAAAATCTGCGCACCAGCCCAGGATACATACTTAGCATTCGCAGTAGCTTCTGAGAGCCGTATCTCTAAGGCCTTGTGAAAGCACGTGCTATGAGAGACAACATGTAACGCAACCGAAGCAAAGAAATCCGCCCACGCGTTGCCAAGCCACGCATGGACCCCCACCCCCATCTCCAGAACAGCCTCCAACGTCTTATGAGAAAGGGGTCCAGGCGAAACTAGGAGGGGGCCTGGCCTGCCGCTCAACCACGCCTCGGAGCGCTCTCCAGATTCCAGCATGGCGAGCAGGGCCCATAGCCTCACGCTCGCGCCAGCTCTGACCTTCCTGGACAAGGCAAAGATGGCCAGACACTATTCGCACAACCTTCGGAGACGCTTTGGCGGCCTGCAGGGCTGCATACCTCGCCGCACGGGGCACCGACTGAATCCCTGGCAGGCTCCCAAAACGGGCCTTGGATGGGCGGCCTGAAGGGCCCAACTGCACCACCGCCCACGCACACCTAGCCACCTCAGAGAACTGCATACCCTGGCCAGCCTCATTCGTGTACACCGTTCCAGCCCAAGGGATGGTGGGGTCCCCCCACTCAAACCATTGCTCAGGAGTTCTGTCGGGCCTCTCAGAGCTGGGCGGGAGCAGCGGCAGCGCGTAAGCGTATGCAACATTATCAAACTCAGGGGGGCCGAGGATATCCATGGCCGCCTTGCGCAGTCTCTCACGCGTCTTGAGCAGGCGCTTGCCCGCAGGGGATTCCTGAAGCTCAGGATCGATGTTGGCTCTGACAGTTTGAAGCTCTAGCAACTTCGGACAATCATACCATCTGTGGCCAAGCGTTTCGCGAGGCGCACCACAAGCAAGACAATCAGGCTCTTTGACAAAACCGAACCTCCATTTCTTTTCACGTGGCCACATGGCGCCTGTCCACAGGCACTGCAGGGCGCCGAGGTCCGCAGACCGCCGCGCCGCTCTCGATCCTGCCACGCAAGCTCGCAGACCTTTGAGCCAGATCTGCTCGTCCTGGGGCTCTGGGATGTGCTCATGTGTCTTCCTGAGCTGCCAACGGTGGATCCCCTGCTCTGGGAGGTCACGAAAGTCCCGCGGCGCAACTTGGAGGAGCGAGAAGAAAGTGCTGGAATCGGTGACGATCTCGTGGGCTGAGGTCATGGACCATCCAATACGTCGGAGCGACATCCAGACTGCCGCTAGAGGTCCCTTGACCTTGGCCCAAATCTCCGCTCGGGACATCTGATCGTGCATGTGCTGCCAGGCCACCTGCAACTCATTCAAAGGTGCTCTGGCCTCCCATATCCAAGTAGCGAAGAGAAACAGCACGTCGGTCGTGGCCTTGAAAACCGGGTCATACTTGGCATTCGGCTGCATCAACAGCCCCATGGTAAGCGATGCTCCTGGCTTGACCCCTGCAAGGACACCTGCTTAGAGTTCAAACGGGGCGAAGGATGTGTTCGGCAACTCCAACAACAGCAGCTCCATGCAGCACCGCAGGCGTCAACCCCGCTGCTTGGATCCTGACCATGCGGCGGCAACCCACGGCCTTTTTTTCAGTATGTGTAGCCTCCGTACTCGTTGAGAAAGTCCTGCAAATCTGGCGGCCTCTTGACAGCGTCGAGTTCGGCTTGACGATAGCTCATGACCAAGATTGCGCATCCATTTCTTGGGTTGAATGTGCCGTCGTTTCGCCAAACGACTCACAACCTTCGTCGCGTGCGCATCTGAAGCCACCAAGCCTAACTTCTTGATCTGCACGGGGAGCTTCAAGTCTTCGAGGGCCTCCGTGACCTCATCGGCGGCCTCGGCAACTTCCAGAGCACAGTGTCCCTCCAAACCTGCCCAACGAAGTGTTAACTCATCTGCAAGCTGTCGCGGCGTTACCGTCGGGCACAGCGCTGACAGCCTTCTCACATAACGATACATGAGAACTTCTAAAACCGTGGTGGCGCGTGAACAGCCCGCAACAATACCTTGGTGCGAAGTGAACAAGGAAGACTCACTCCCATACGCCCTGAGCGTCCTGGGTTGGCTGCAGCTTTGGATTACATCCACGTTAACCTCGGCGAATATCCCACCGCTACGGCCTCACGAAGAAGGATGCGTGGCGACACCAACTCGAAACACTTCCACACATCAATCATGAGTGTCACCGTCTTGAGGCTCAGCGCCTCTGCGATCTCGTTGCCCAGGCTGAGGGAGAAAGCTGGCGCTGACGAGCTCCGACCTGGCCCTGTGCCCCATGAATGCGAGCTGCGCTGCGATGTTGTCCAAGCTGCAGAGATGGGCCTTATCACTCTACTCCATATTCTGATAATTGAACTGAGCAAGCCAATAAGCCGGGTGCCCCCATCGGGTTTGGGCAGACGAACAAGGAGCGCGACTAGCCTCTGAGGTGGCCATCCCAGCTTGTCGTCGCAAGCTGTGAACATGAGCGACAGAGCTAACACTGCTGGATCGGACAAGTGCATGAGCTGTCGAGGGTGGAGGTCTGTCTGGCCGACAGCAGACCTCTCGGGGAAAGTCATGAACACCTTCCGCAGCTCATCAACAGTGGGGGGCTCCAGCAAGGGCCAGCTCTGCGCATCGGGCGGCAACTCAGGTTCACCTAGCCCATGATGCTGCCAGATCTTCGTCCACTGCTGGAGCTCCCGATCCGCAAGTTCGTACGGCTGCCCCGTGTCGTGGGTAGGAGGCACTTCGACTGGGCTGCGCACCTTCGTGAACCTATGCGCTCGTCCAGCACCACCGTCGAAACTGCTCCTGGCCCAGCCCTGCCAGGCCTGGGTGCACTGCGCCTCTGCAATGGCCGTACGTGCACGGCTTTCATCAATGATGCGCTGCGCTTGCTTTGGAAGCCGGGGTTACCAAAATGATGCAAGCCAGCTTGGAAGAATGCCTGCGCCTCAGCGTCGAGCTGCCGAAGTAGGTGCTGCTGCTTCTGGAACCGCTGCTGGTAGACAGTCGTCTCATGCATGATTCGCCCGATGGTGCGGACGTGTTGCTGGAGCTTGGCTTCTGAGGGGTTGTTGTTTACCTCGGCGATCCTGTTGGCGACGGCGGTCTGGACTGACATGAGGTGCTGGGCCCACCTGGCCGCTACCGCCCACGCCGTCGTAGCGCGCCCATGCCGCGCACGTCGCCGAGCAGGAGCCCACGCCACAGCCTTGTCACGAAGCTCAGGTGCACCAGCTCTGCCCAGGTAATATTTCCGTCCGATGCCGATCAGGTCACGACGGTTGGCCAGCTCCGCTTCGATGCCAGCAAGCAGTATATCCCAGGCCTGGGTGAGGTCCTCCAGCGCGTCGGCACCTTCCAGACAGACAAAGAAAGGGTTCCAGTCGATGGGGAACCTCGCGCATCCAGGCGCCGCAACTTTGGGGAAACCCCTTGGCTGCTTGAGCTCTCTCTTCTCGAGCTGGAGCCTATCTCTGGGCAGGTACAGCAGCACAGGCTGGTGCGGCCATAGTGTAGCATCACTCTGCACCGAGACCTGGAACGGCACATCGTCCACTAGCGAGCTGTGTAAGGTAAAGAAATCAATCAAGGTGCCTGGCGTGGCTTCCAAGCACGTGGGATGATCAGGGGCACAACGCCGCCCTTGGACCACGTGTAGCCAGTCGTGCTCAAACAGCTCCGATGGTGACATGTTGAAATCTCCTGCGGTCAGCCAAGGGTAACCTGCAGCGGCCACTCGTCGCACGTATTTGCACGCTTCCCACAGCAGGGCTAGGTCCCTCGGGGTGCGACCTTCTCCTGTGTACAGGTAGATCGAGATCATGACGATGCCTCCACGCTGGCCAGCATGGACGAGGCCCGCTCCAATGCGGCCTGCATAGATCACGCCGTGCTCTAGGAAGGGTGCCTGGGTGACCTGGATGCAAGAACGAGCGAGCACAGCGAGACCACCCTCCGATCCACCTTCAGCAGTTGGGGTCGCATCGATCCACTGGCCTTTTTCCAGCCGACGTCGAGGGCATCGCCTTGCACCTCGTGCAACTTGGGCCCATGAGCGTGCACCTCTTGAGCTAAGACGACATCAGCCGTACAGGTGGCGAGGCACTTGGTGAACGAGCCGTGGGAGTTGGCATTCACGGTGATTACTTGCAAACCACGACGATCTGCCTCCACCTTGGGCGCGTCGTGTTGATCCGCAAGCACTGCCGCACGTCGCCCCTCTCCTGCTGCTGGCACCTGGCTGTTCCCCGAGCCCAGCACCGCTGGCGACGACCTCCCCGTGGGTAGCGTTGGCGACGAATCTGGCTCCTCGAACATCTCATGGTCGCGTAGCTGCCTGTCGAGCTCCTCAAAGGGGCCGACGTCGCCATCCATGTTGTTGAGCACGCCACCAGCCGCATCTGGGCGAGCGTCACAGCACCTCTGAGAGCCGACTCCAGTAACTCCATGTGCGAGGGCTTCGGCCACCCCACCATAGTGGGCTTCGCTCGGGCTGACAGGGAGGACGATGGGGCGAGCATTGCAGCGCCTCTCCAGGCCGCCTCCAGCACCACCGCGTGGGGGGGCATCGGCCACCCCACCGCGGTGGGCCACGCACGTCCCCACAGGGAGGGCGATGGGGCGAGCGTCGCAGCACCTCTCCATGCCGCCTGCAGCAACTCCATGTGCGAGGGCGTCGGTCACCCCAACGCAGTGGGCCTCGCTCGGGCTCGCAGGGAGGGCGGTGGGGCGAGCGCCACAGCACCTCACCAGGCCGCCAAGCGCTCCTTCATGTGCGAGGGCATCGGCCACCCCACCGCGGTGGGCCTCGCTCGGGCTCGCAGGGAGGGCGGTGGGGCGAGCGCCACAGCACCTCACCAGGCCGCCAAGCGCTCCTTCATGTGCGAGGGCATCGGCCACCCCACCGCGGTGGGCCTCGCTCGGGCTTACAGGGAGGGCGACGGGGCGAGCGTCGCAGCGCCTCACCAGGCCGCCATGTGCAGCATCATGTGCGAGGGCATCGGCCACCCCACCGCGGTGGGCCTCGCGCGCAGCAAGCCCTTTCCCCTGAGCATACGGGGGCGGCCCCAAGAGCCCAACTGACACCTGAGAAATCGACAACTCACCTTGGCGATCAAAGTCGGCGTGGGTGCCTGAGCAGGGCCGCTCACGACAGCGCGTCAGGTCTGGCGCAGCAAGCACAGGGGCAGGTAGATGGCAGGAGGAGTTCGGCACAAACCCTGCTGCCGCAACACTGAGTTGGCCCTCATCAGGCTTAGCTTCTGGAAAGGGCATCATCATGACGTCGACCAGCTCACTGCGCCTTGAGGCGCTTAGCCTCCTGCCAAGAGGGCGCGGCATGCATGCGCTTGACAGCAGCGCGAAGCTCAGCATCATCATCAGAGCCACCTGCCATCATCTCCATGCCGCACGCCTTGAGGTACTCACGCAGCTCCTCGGCCGTAGCTGAGTTGATCGCCTCGTCTTCTGAGGCCGCTGCTGCAGCTCGCTGCTGGGCTGCCTGAGCGGCAGCAGCCTCCTCTGCAGCCTTCCGAGCATCGCGCTCTTGCTGCTCCTGCACAGCTTGGAGGCGCTTGGCCTCCTGGATCTTGGCGTCCTCCTCCTTGATCTCTTGCACCACTTCCTGCGCCTTCTCCTGCAGGCCAGTTGCCAAGCCCATCTGCTCCAGGACTTGGGCCATCTTCGTGAGACCCCACCGATCATCAGCAGCACCACCAGTGGCAGGGGGCTTAGGTGGGGGGTGCAAGGGTGGCAACGGCATCGCAGATCTTGGTCCGCTCAGCCTGGAGCTCGCAGAGGGTGTTCCGCGAGGCTTGAATCTGCTTCTCACGATCTTCGAGTTCTTGCTGGAGCTCGGCGATCTTCTGACGCTTCTCATCCTGGGAGGACTGTCAGCGCTGCAACTGACACTCAAGCTTAGTGATGCGCTGACCAATTTCCTTGAGCTTGATACCATCTGGCTTGGCCTGGAAGATAGTACCACGGAGCGCCCCACGCTCATCCCTGTACCGTTGAAGGACCAGGTCGATCTCGGGCGTGGCAGGACGGACTTTAGCGAGCGAGTGGGTGAGGCCATCTAGCTCAGCAGCTCGCTTCTTTGACTCCGTGACCACTTCGACTTCCATAGCGCCTGCGTCGACATCCTGGGCCAACGGCTGGGCACGTGCCTGCTTGAGCTCTGTTGTGAGCCCAGCCACACGCTTCTCCATTGCGAGCAGTTGTTTGGCCATGGCCCCAGGCTTCTGGCTCTTGGTGCGGCTGGCCAAGCTTGTCGAAGGCTGCTTCGGCACGGGCTTGGACAAGAAAGCTGCACTCTTGGAGACTGAGCAGCTGTGACAGGCCAACTTGTCGGGGTAATTGACGAATGGTTTGCCATCACGTCCCGTACAGAATCGGCAGCACCACTTGGAGCGCTGCTGGTCACGACGAACCGCGGGCGAGGGCACCATCGCACTTCTGTTACTGCAACAAACCGAGTGTGGGCGCCACTCTGTGCAGTAGCCGAAAAGAAGACGGTGACCAGGGCGGCCCTGATAACAATAATAGTTCGAGAGTTTGGCTCCAAGCGTGACCCCTCGCGCTCGAAACGCCCTCTCGGACTCGCGGTCGTCGGGAGACGCATTGCCTTGAGCCAAAATGGCTACGGAAACAGCGTGTGTGTGTGTGCGTGTATGTGTGGTGTGTATGTGGTGCGTGCGTGCGTGCGTGCGTGCGTGCGTGCGTGCGTGCGTAAGTAAGTAAGTAAGTGCGTGCATGTGTGTTTGCGTGTTTGAGAGTGAGTGGGTGTGTGTGTGTGTGCGTGCGTGCGTGCGTGCGTGCATCTGTGGGTGTGTTTGTCGTCCTTATTTTGGCCGACTTGGCCTCTGCGCTGCGCTGCCTGCCCGCCGCCCCAGGCCTCCGCCCCCTGGGGGGCTGGTCGTCTCGCCATGTCTTTTCTTCTCCTCGACTGCGTGCCCCGCGAGGGGCGCCCGACGCGCTGGCGAGTCGCCGCGCCGCTACGACCGAAAAGTGTGCCTGTATGTGTGTATGTGTGTGTGCGTGTGTGTGTGTGTGTGTGTGTGCGTGCGTGTGTGTGTGTGTGTTTGTGTGTGTGTGTGTGTGTGTGCGTGCGTGCGTGCGTGCGTGCGTGCGTGCGTGCGTGCGTGCGTGTGTGTGTGTGTGTGTGTGTGTGTGTGTGTGTGTGTGTGTGTGTGTGTGTGTGTGTGTGTGTGTGTGTGTGTGTGTGTGTCTGGCCATCGCTCGGACGTCCGTTCCACGTGCATCGATTGGTTTCGTGCGCTCTTTTGTCGTATAATGATCCAGGATGCTCATCGATGGTCCTCGAACGCGCACGCGCGAGCGATGCCAAGGTGTGTGTGTGTGTGTGTGTGTCTGTGTGTGTGTGTGTGTCAATATTGTTTGTTGTTCCCCGTGTTCTTCTCTTCTTCGGCCTCCTGGGCCCGCTTGTCCTGCCCAGGCCCCAGAGCCATCACGAAGGGATCCGCGAAGAAACCCTGCCCCCGGGGAAATAGTCGAGGCATCCAAGGTGCGCGGGTCGGACATGAGCAGACCATCGGATGTCCATGGTCCCAAACGTATTCGGCGTCTCGAGGTGGTCGAAAGGTTGTGGGCCCGCGTCTCGAGAGGCCCCCAAGAGGCCCAATAGAGGTCCTCACAGGGTCCCCAAGAGGCCACAAAAGGCCTCACCCGTGGACTTCATCCCACTTCTGGGGGTCGGCGGAATGGCGTAGGCCTCTTGACTCAGACCACCGGGTGACCAGGGTGCACCCCCGAGGTCACAATTTCCCAATAATCCTGTGGTGTTGGGTCCTCGTTTTGAAGACAGCGCCCCGCGTTCCTCTGCTCTCCTCCTCCTCCCCCTCCTCCTTCCTCCTCCGTCACCCCCTCAGACGTCGCACGCACGTGAAGACTGTGTGTTTGTGTGCCAGAGTGAAGGGGGTGATGATGCGACGCACCCAACGAGACCGCGCGTCGCATCATCACCCCCCTCACAAATGGCACACACACACACACACACCTCACACTTTTTGTGGCCCCATAAAGGGCTCCACCGAAGGCCCCAGTGCCACCGCCCGCATGCCTCACGCACACCCATTTCGGCACACCCATCACACGTTTCGTGGCCCCCATAAAGGGGGCTCCACCGAAGGCCCCAGCGCCACCGCCCGCATGCGTCACGCACACCCATTTCGGCACACCCCTCACACGTTTCGTGGCCCCACAAAGAACTCATCCGAAGGTCCCAGTGCCACAGTGCCACTGCCCGCGTGCCTCACGCACACCCATTTCGGCACACCCATCACACGTTTCCTGGCCCCTTAAAGGGAGCTCCACCGAAGGCCCCAGCGCCACCGCCCGCATGCTTCAGGCACACCCATTTCGGCACACCCATCACACGTTTCGTGGACCCACAAAGAACTCATCCGAAGGTCCCAGTGCCACAGTGCCACTGCCCGCATGCCTCACGCACACCCATTTCGGCACACCCATCACACGTTTCCTGGCCCCCATAAAAGGGGGCTCCACCGAAGGCCCCAGCGCCACCGCCCGCATGCTTCAGGCACACCCATTTCGGCACACCCATCACAGGTTTCGTGGACCCCCAAAATACTCCTCCGAAGGTCCCAGTGCCACAGTGCCACCGCCCGCATGCCTCACGTTCACCCATTTCGGCACACCCATCACACGTTTCGTGGCCCCCATAAAGGGGGCTCCACCGAAGGCCCCCGCGCCACCGCCCGCATGCGTCACGCACACACACATTTCGGCATACCCATCATACGTTTCGTGGCCCCATAAAAGGGGGCTCCACCGAAGGCCCCAGTGCCACCGCCCGCATGCGTCACGCACACCCATGTCGTCACCATCCATCACGCGCTTCGTGGCCCCATAGGGAGCTCCACCGAAGGCCTCAGCACCACCGCCCGCATGCGTCACGCACACCAATTTCGGTACACCCCTCACACTTTCGGTGGCCCCATATGGGGGCCCCACCGAAGGTCCAACTGCCACCGCGGGCATGCGTCACCCCCACCCATTTCGGCACACCCGTCACACGCTTCGTGGCACCATTGGGGGCTCCACCGAAGGCCCCAGCGCCGACGCCGGCATACGTCACCTCCACCCATTTCGGCACACCCATCATACGTTTCGTTGCCCCATAAAAGGGGCTCCACCAAAGGCCCCAGTGCCGCCGCCCGCATGCGCCACGCACACCCATGTGGGCACACCCGCCACGGGAGCTCCACCGAAGGCCCCAGTGCCACCGCCCGCATGCGTCACCCTCGCCAATTTCGGCACTCCCCTCATACGCGTCGTGGCCTCATAGGGAGCTCCACCGAATTCGCCAATGGCTGCGTTCGCATGCGGCCGCACTCATTTCGGCACACCCATCACACGTTTCGCGGCACCACAGGGTGCTCCACCGACGGCCCCAATGGCTGCGTTCTCATGCGCTCACCTCACCTATTCCGCCACACCTCCCACGCGTCTCGCGGCCCCAGAAGGAATTACACCGACGGCCCCAGCGGCTGCTTTCGCATGCGCCCACTAGACAAATTGTGGCACACCCCTCACGTGTCGTGGCCCTACAGGGAGTTCCGCTGAATGCGGTGCATACAACGACGGTGCTCACAACTGCATACGTCGGCTCCTTCGCCAAGTTTTTTTACACCGTCGACCCCCCAAGGTCTCGACCCATTCCGCGGGACCGATGCTTCATCCTGATTTGTCTTGCGCGGTCCCAGGGCCCAGTAAAGGCACATTTTTAGTTCGGCAAGGCTACCCCGGGGGCGTCTCAAGCAGTTCCACTCAGGTGCACATCGCACGCGTGCAAAACCTCTACGCTTGCCCTCGTGCGTGCTGGCGCTCGAGAAGGCGAGCGGGTGGGTGCGGCCTCCTCGCCGCGCGGCGCGACGCGCCTCGCGGTCGGCGAGGTCGAGAGCGGCCGCTCTCTCTGGCGGGAGGGGAAGTGTAGGCGCCTGCATCATCCGGCCCCAACAACGCCGGCGCCTACTGTCAGACAGATGTGCGATGCATCGAAGCCTCTGCTTGAAATCTATCCTGCGCACGGGGCGCACTCCACGCTCGTCGATGCACAAACGCGCTGGACATCTGAGCTGGCGCTTCATTCTCTGATGCATCCTGATCACCTCACTTGCGGGGGGGCAGGGCGCTCAGAGCAGGGGCAGCAAACAAAAGGGAGCGCTGCAATCGTCTCACCTTGCTCGGGCGACGACATCACCGACGACGACGACGAGTCACAGACGGAAGTGTGGAACAATATCCACAACACTATCTCCCTCCACGCACTCAAATCATGCAACATAAACTCATGCCAAAAACTGACATGGAGGAAAGGCTCAGGCAGTGCGGAGAAGGCTGGAATATTCTTCCACACGTACTTGAGGTCAATTTGCAACTGACGGACCCAGTCGAGGGCCTGCTCCTTGCACCGATACTGCAACACGGCCTGGAGCGGGCCTGTGGCAAAGTGCACGAGGCGACCGACATGCAGCAGGCCCTTGCGCAGCAGCAAGCAGTCTACAGATGGGCGGCCTAATCTTTCGCGGATTCGGGGGTCAGAGAACACCGCTTCGCCAAACTTGAGATCGCCAGCGATGCGTCGAAGGATGCGCGTGCACGGGCCGTTTAACGCTCGAATGTACTCGGGTGCGCTACACATGATGTGGCTATCAAACAATAGCCGACCATGAATCAAGAGCGAGCCAGCGAGCGCAAGACGTCACTTTCACTCAACTCGGCGGCGCCAAACACTTCACACGCAATAGGAACGTAGGCGCTCGTAGTCTGCAAAATCCTGAGGTCAGCGTCTCGCTTCAGACGCCGGTCGGGAGTCGAGACGCAGCCTAGATGCTTGTACTCGTCAACTACATGTCATGAGATATCTAGCTCTGGGACCTTGAAGCAGCGCTGATCTCCGCACTTCAATCTGGCATAATGCTTGCTACTCTGCTTACCCCTGTGCACAACCATGCACTCGGACTTTCAAGGCTTCCAGTTTATCTCTCGAGCAAGGGCTACAAATGTCTGCGCTACTACTTTCATGCGGGAATGGATGGCAGAGTTGAGGCGAGTAGGAGTCGAGGCGAGCAAGACTAAACACTCACCATCTACAAAACTGCGTCGACGACGTGCTCAACATGCGAGGTGCGTGTTCCATCGCGCGGGCTGGCATTCCCAAAGGGGCCCTCACTCCGAGGCAGCCTCGAGCCAAGACCGATCTTAGCAACTTCTGAGTACAGCATGAAGAGCGCAATACTGTACGCTTCGTTGAACATGACTGTGCCGACTACACATCCTTGGCGGCATCCCGTGAAGGTCTGCACTACTTCAGGGAGGCTGGCATACTGGGAACATGCCATACGGTGCAGTCTAACTATGAGTTCAGCTGTCT